GCTGGGGCGACACTCGGATTGTAGAACCGGTTTTGGCAATCAGCTGTTTGACTCCTCTCCGTTCGCTGCTGACACACATTATTCGGCAAAACAGATAAGCAGCGAGGTAAGATAATAATAATAAATGCAAAGGTCTTACCGGTTTTGTCAGCTGCTACATACAGATGTTTTCGGGTTTCCCCGCTACCCTGCAGTGCCGACTTCAAACCGCCTAGTCGATTGAGGTTCAATGGCTTCTGAGCCAAGTCATCTAAACTCATTTCGCTTCGCTTTGCGTACAAATCAAGGACGCCAGCCAAGAAAATGGTTTTCGATTACAGCAAATCACACTTGCAGAACGCCAAAAAAGCCAAAAATCGAAGCCAAAAAAGCGTATGCATATATTTAACACACATGTGCATACACTATATGTATATTTATATGCACATATGTAAGTCAAGGCACTCCATCTAATATCACCCGCCACACAGAGGAAAAAGCCACATTACTATTCTATGATAAATAAGGTTTGCTTTTGCACTAAGCATATCCTATTTTTTCAAAATGGTGCTTTGAAAGTTAATGATTTCAGTTTCTTGGAGTACATGTGTAACTATGTATGTACATACATAGAAACTCAATCCACTGGATTTGGAACTGGGTAGGGTTGGATGGTGCCGAAGACAAAGGCAGTAAAGCCAAATGACTGTAGCAGCAAAACGGCGAAAAGCCAGAAACTGTGCCACAGTCACTGCGGTCTACCAGCACCAGCATCCTCTGGCCTTCGTCCTTCAGAGCCACCCACCTAGCCCACCCACCTAGCTTATGTAAATGGAGCAAGTGGGGAGGGCGAGGCGGCGTGGTAAGTTGGGGCCGCAACTTTGGATTTACTTTTCAGAGTGCTTGGGATTGAATTGTGTGGCAACAGCCACGATCCCAGTGCGGCAGTAACTATTGGTTTCTTACACTGGTAATACAAGTGGTATACAGCCTTTAGCTGGCTTTCTAATTTCCCACGAATAGCTGCAATGGTCAGGGCTGTGGAATACCCTACTGACAAATCGCATATGAAGATGGCATGCTCGTAAAAAGCACACTACACCCGCTTTGTTGGTCTTATCTGACTTTATTGAGTCACTGGACTTGGAACTCGAGCCACTTTAGGTTCGAACAAAAGAATAAATGTGTTATTAAGGCGCGTCTGCCTTTTGAATACTTTTTCAACGTTCACGGAAAACGTAAATCCAACAGTCGTGCCAAAACGCGTCCAAAACTACCGACCTATAAATAGCCCCACTCGATCATAGAATCAGAAGGTTGTGGACACGAAGCAACGAAAATAAATCAAAAATTGTTAACTCATCGCAGCTATAGGTAGATATAACCCAAAACAAACATCTTATCATAAATTTAGACTTTCAGAGGGAATTACGCATTACAAATGCACATACATATGTACATATGTGCATACGTACATATGTATGTATTTATAAATACCGTTCACAATTATTAAGCAAACTGCGTTTCGGTACTCACCTGATCTCCCTGCTGAGCTGGTGGATTCGTGGTTCCTGAGCTAAATTGCAGCCATTACTGTGTGCTGGTCCTGTGTCATTGCCTTATCTTACATTATAAGCTGCACATTAAAGTGATTGTAGTTGTTGGGCAGACGAGTATTCCAAAACCCAATAAGCTCGCTCTCTCTTCGCTTCTTCTGCGTATGTCTCTTCGTCGAATTTGGTAGCTGTTGTTTTATGAATTTCTGCCGCCCGACTGTTTCGACCCTTGCACAGTGGGATGGATTCGCTGCAGCGCGCGTCCGAATCAGCTGGCTTACAATGCACGATTTAAATTGCCAAGTCGACAAACACTCTGGTTAAGCGATATTCGGCACGCTTCAGGATTGTGTGGAAAGTTGTCAACTATCGGCTTCGACTTCGTCACGCCCACTGTAAGGGAGTTTCGATTTTCTGCGGGGGAGGTGGCACAAGTTCACCAGAATATGTGGGGCGACCGGAGGTCGTATAAACAAAAGCACAGTGCACCCAAGTGCGGAAATCGCGGCTGTAAGAGCTACAAATGCGTGCAGGAGTCGGGAATCGGGGAGGAACTCTCGATTTACCCAATCGCAGGATTTAAATTGATTACTTAACACGCTCTGTCGCGAGAAAAATAGGCTATCTCTACTGCCGCGGCCCTTAAAAATATAGAAAAGTCGGATAGACTACCACACAAGCACCGCTCGACCGTTCGCACTCCAATTGGAACATCATCTGACCGTTGCCGTAACAGCGGCTGTTAACGCAGCCCGTGAGGGTGGAAATTTCGATAGCATTTATCGAAATAGAGGCAAAGTGTAGTTTCAGAAAACAGTGTTGCAGTAACAAACAACGCGATTCGCCATTAAATGTGGGCAATTGCTGCTAATTGAAAAAAGTTTAACAATTTTAATTTTTATGTGATATGCAGTTATCGATAGTGCTCGCCATCCCACGATGAATGTAGATTGGGGATACGTTAGCGTAAGCACTGCTACGTTAGCCCACAGATGTTCACATTAACATTTCTGTTAAATCGAATTTACCGCCAACTTTATCGGTTATGTTGGGTTTGAACTTAACATTTTTAACTAAGTAAGTTACAAAGTGTCCTTTGTTCCGCATTGTGAAATTAAAATATTTTTGGAATAGGTAATTACAATATTTCCATTGACGCTCTTATACGTAATACATACTAATTTTTTAAAATGTAGATATAGCATTTTATACCCGTTACTCGTAGAGTAAAACTTCCTAACTAGATTCGTTGAAAAGTACGTAACGAGTAGAAGGCAGCGTTTTCGCCGTATAAAATCTATATACATGTATGTATATATGTATATTTTAGGTTCTTATTGGTCTTCTAAATTTCTATCGCTTTGCCAAAAAGGTTTTGTTACGCCTACTCTACCGCCCGCAAACCTCCCAAAAACTGCCACGCCCACACTTTTGAGAAATGCTGTGATATATTTTAGTAAGTCTCGTAAATTTCCATCGATTTGCTAAAAACTTTTTGCCACGCTTCCTAGGAACAGGTAAGACTGTCATCGCCCTCAGCCTCGTCAGCTGCAAAAGATAGAAAATAAAGGTAATAGGAGGTCGTACCACGGATGTCAAGCAGTTATCACTTACAAAGAATTTGCAGACCGAACATCAGCGCGAATCCCGCCACGGCGGCCACAAGGGCCCTCCAACCGGCGTGGCTCTCGGTGAGGATCTCGAAGAAGACCACGTACAGCAAGGTTCCGCAGGCGATGCCCTGAAGCACTCCGGATGGCAGACTGGGCTGACCCGCCGCCACCTGCTGGCTGATGCCCAAGCCAACTCCGATACCAATGGGCGTAACAATGGAGAAGGTCACCAGGTACAGGATGGCCAGCGAACTGCGTGTGCGGGCGACCAGGAGCTCCATGCCCACACAGAAGGCCAGCACCAACTTGTGGGCGGAGACCGCTCCAAACATGAACCACACGGTGCTCACAGTGCCCTCCAGACCAATGGCCATGCCCTCGAACAGTTCGTGGAGCGACAAGGCCAGGATAATTCCCAGCCCCCTGGCAGAGGATCCTTCGTCCGATGGCACCGGCATGTGGGAGTGGCCGTGGTGATCCTTGGGCTGCTGTGGCGACAAATCGTTAACTTCCACTGCTTCCTTCGAATGTGGATTGAGGAGTACACTGTGTCGAATGCTGCGTCCTCTTTCGAAAGCCAGACTAGCCACCGACTCCTTCCGACTGAGCTTTTGCTGGTGGTGCCGCACGAAGCTGGTCATCAGCTCGTCCAACGCGTACATCAAGAAGAAGCCCGTGCAGAGCAGCATTTCCGCCAGGGCAAAAGGCGTTTGGGCAAGCAGCCCGCATTCTTGGAGCGCATCCACCACCTCGATCACCTCGGGCAGCATGTGCAGGAATGTGGTGCAGATGAGCACTCCGCCGCCGAAGAAGAGCAGGCATCGCACCACCAACGACGAGCGGGTCTCCTCCGGACTCGCCTTCGTCCAGTGGAAGTACCTGTTCAGGACGTAGGGAAGGCTGCCGCACAGCACGGTGATGATCACGAGCACCACCATGGCAACTATCTTGGCCACCAGCAGCGCCTTGCGATCCACGTCGTGCGTTTGATCCTGTGGCACAGTTGCGGTAGCGCCCATCTTTACGTCCCGAGCTGATGTCTTCGACTGGGCTGGTTGGAACTCACAAACAGACTAATGGTTTATATTTCCAGTCATATATCAACGGGAGGCGATGGAAATCTGATCGCTGATTGATACGCGGATTCACGGCAGACAGCGGGCAAGCCCCACAGCCCAGAACTGTTATCTATTTCGCCGACCCCTGGACAGGTGGCTCCCATCGGACTCAGCGATAACCGAACCATAGTTCTGCTTAATTTTATTCTGCGGGAATTGTATGATTGGGAGAAGTTTTGTAATGTGCAGGAACATCGGAAGTATTTCCTGAATATTATTATTGATACACTGAGATAATTTATTGTTCCTTTAAAGTCGATCTCATTTAAGGTTTATATGGTAAGGAATTGAAATCGCAGCACAAAACGTATTTACATATGTAGGTACATATTGTAATAGGTACGTTGCTGAGTTTTTGGCTGCATAAATATTCCTGATCAGGATCAGTAGCACAGTTGATTTGGCCATGTCCGTCATACTTTAGGATTTAGAAATTCGATATCAAGTTATTTTACATGTATCTAAAGATGTGATAAACGCAAGAAGCTCTATTCCAAAAGTTTTTCGAATCGGAAAAAATGTATTACAATTCAATAACATAAGTTGTAGCAACCGCTAGGTGGAGCTGATGTGCGCACACGGAAACAGTTTGGAGCTCGTTTTATGAATTTCCCTCACAGAGGGTGCGATTAAAGGGTATAAGATAGTTGAGGGACCGACTATTCCGTTCACTCTTGCTCTATTTCCCAAGAATATCTTTTATTTTTCCATCTAGGGATATATTATGTCAGGCCTTATTGTTCGAGGCTCAAAGCCGTTTTTCCTGATAGATATTCGAAGGAGCATGTGAACTGGCTCTTCCCCTTGGCTTCGCCAACTGAAATAAGAAAGTGGTAAATTGGTTTCTAAATTCTTGCTGCTTTCAAGTGTGCTTACTTGCAATCTGGAGGCCAAACATCAGGACAAACCCCACCATTGACGAAAGTAAAACGCGCATGCCCGCATGGTTTTTGGCCACAATTTCGAAAAAGACCACGTAAATGAGGGTGCCACAGGCCAGCCCCTGAAGGATTCCTGATACCGTGCTGGGCTGATTTGCCGCGGCAGATTCGCTGACTGCCATTCCGACGCCCACACCAATCGGAGTCACGACCGAGAAGACCAGAAGGTAAACCACGGCCAGCAGCCAGCGGGTATGGGCCATCATGACCTCCATGCCGATGCAGAAGGCCAGGACGAGCTTGTGGACGGAAATGGCTCCGGTTATGAACCACACCGTGCTCACACTCATCTCCAGCCCTATGGCCATGCCGCCGAAGAGTTCGTGCAGGGAGAGGGCCACGATAATTCCGAGGCCTCGCAACCAGTTGGGCTCCTTAGGACTTTCTCCAAGCTGGACCATCATCCCTGCCCCTATCTCATCGCCTGCCTCCCGCAGCTTCTTCTCCTGCCGCCGACGTACCACTAAGTGCATGGTCTCCTCAAAGCAGTACATTAGTTAGAAGCCTGTGCAGAGCAGAACCTCCGGCAGGCCGAAGGGAGTTGGGTCCAGCATGCGGCAGTCCTGGAGAGCACTTACCACCTCGACCACCTCCGGCAGCATGTGGATGAAGGTGGTGGCTATGAGGACACCTCCGCCGAAATCCGCACCACCTTAAATTCGCGAGCATTGTGTTCGGGTCGCTGGGTCCACTTGTAGAAGCGATCCAGAATGTAGGGAATAAAGCAGAAGATCAGGGTCACGAGCAGGAGTACCACTATGGCCACGATCTTGGCCACGATCAGGTGTTGGTCTGCCATTGCAAGCGGAGTGACTGGTCCGAAATCATGCCATTTACTTTTTATAGTGGACCTGATGTCTAGTCAGGTGCAGGTATCGGCAAATTGGCGAATATTTACTTATAGTAAGGGCTTAGTGGTTTCGACTTAAGTTGGTCGAGCAAAGGGTGCACGGCAAGATCTACCTTTCGGTTTAACACATATTGCCACTTGAATATTAGTAGATATTAACCAATATTTCCCTCGCTACCAGTATGGCCTCATTGGTTTGTTTCGCTGCCTTAGAATGTCAATGGCAGATTTCAGCGCGAAATTTCAGCTGGCGAAGCCAAATAATTTGTTGTCAACGGCAGCCAAGTCTTCTGCAGCCTGGAATCTATGCGCTATCACTGGGTTGTGGAGACAGTTTGCCTGATAACTTCGCAGTTGAGATATCGTTCCCAAATGCTGAGTACTGACACAGATTGTGAGTCACATTAAATGTGTATCTGCGAGCTGAGGCAAAAAATACTTCACTCGTTGAGTGTTCTTCGAATACTTAGATTTTGTGAAAAGTAGCGGACTCTTGAAATTAGTTTTTTCTATTGTTTTTAGTTGTATTATTTCTATCGATATGCCAAAAAGAGTTTCATACGCCCACTAGTTGTGTAAGGGGTATTTGATAGTCGAGGAACTCGACTATAGAGTTTTCCTTTGTTATTGGTTAGACAGGTAACTATAAGACATTAAATGTGTATCTGCGAGCTGAAGCAAAAAATACTTCACTCGTTGAGTGTTCTTCGAATACTTAAATTTTGTGAAAAGTAGATGGACGCGTTCGTATCTTGATCATAATAAATAGCGGACTTTTGAAATTAGTTTCTTCTATTTTGTTTTTAGTTGTATTATTTCTGTCGATATGCCAAAAAGAGTGTTCACACGCCCACTAGCTGTGTAAGGGGTATTTGATAGTCGAGGAACGCGACTATAGAGTTTTCCTTTGTTTGAATATAAGATGGCGTAATTACAACGCAATTGGATAAACTTAGTTGTTTAGGACGTTCTTAGAAGGGAGACTATAAGACATCCTCAACGAACACTTTGGAGTTCAAACTTATGTATAATTAAAAATAAGTGTTACGCACATCATCCAATAGTTTATTAAGTATCATAGGCCGTAATGATTTACTGTAAAAATTATTAATGGCATTTATTAAATTTAAATTTAAAGTAATTACTATGACTTGATAGTGTTCTTCTGTAACTGATTTCAATGATGTACACGGGTGAGAAGACAAATAGATGTGTAAGTATGATATACATGAGTTTTGATTTTAATGGAAGCATCGGAGTTTGTTGAAGTTATCAAGTTGTCGCAAAAGATATTTCAAAAGCAATGGATTGTCTCCAAACAGTGGATTGCATGCGTCTAATTTAGACGATTGGATGACAGTTTAATGTGCATAGATATGCGTGTATTATGTGGCTTTCATTTCAAGTTTGGCTCGCTCGCTTTTGTGTGTCTTGTGGAAAACCCTCCATCGTCGTTGATAGCCGTTCAACATGATTCAGTACATTCTTCCTACTTCCCCTACTATCCTATTCACGACTGCTTGGGGTGCTGAACGGGAGGCGGCGGCGCCGGCTTGAAGCACTGCAGCAGGAAGGCGGTGTAGACCACAAAGGCCACCGCCAGCGCAATCAGGGCATACATAAAGATGTTCAGCTCCGGCTGGCGGAAGCGGTTCTTGCGCAGCCATTCCAGCACTTCGTCCTCGGACAACAGATCACCTTGAATGGGAATTAGCTGTTATCGAGATTTCTCCAGATCTCCCGGACCATACCCCTGTATATGCTGGGGAACCGTCGTCGGAAGTAGACCATCGCCGGCAGCTTGGTAACGCCCCACTTCTTGGCATAGCGCGAGTCGGCCATCTTGACGAAGGTGATGTCCAGGTTGTCCGTCTCGCTGTCGATGTTCTCCAGTTTCTCCAGCGCTGCAGTACTGTCCGGCTGATTGTGTTCGTCTGAGTAAAGGGCGGGTTTGTACTAATCGAAAAATGTGTCAGAAAAAACGTGTCAGAAACTCACAGAAGAAAACGGCTAGGAACTCATTTTCCTCAAGTAGTTTGTCGAGCATCTTTCGGTTTACTTCCTCTATTTCGTTTTTGATTTCGAACACATCCTGTGACGTTAGCCAGGTAATCACCTTGTCGTGTTGGTGCAGGTCACCGTCGTACAGGACGGGCACTTGTTTTCTGAAGTATGGAACGGTTCAAAAACTTGGCATATAGCTCTGACTGTATTCTTACCGGAAATAAACCAGGGAAGGTATATTTACTATCTCGTATTTCTTGGCTGCCTGGATGCTGGCAATCTTTACGAAGTCAATGCCAAACATGTCTGCCTCGCCATCAATCTCCTCCAGCTCTTCCAAAATCTCCTCGCACTCGGCACAATCATCGTCATCTAAGAAAGGCACGGGTCAAAAGACTTTGCTGTGGACTCATCCAAGCTACAGTACTCACAAAAGAAAACAACCAATAGAGTGGACTCCGCCATTAGACGATCCAGCATACGCTCGTTGACCTCCTCTATTTCATCGGCCAACTCGCGGTTGTCATCATCGATGAGCCATTCCAAAACGGACTGCTCGTTTTGCAGGTCGCCCTCAAACAGTAATGGATTTCCATTTCTGCGCATAAATTCAGTTGCCTTTAAAGCTTAGTTGCAAAGAGATCTTGTCACTTACCTGAAGTAAACCAATGCCGGGAAGGTCTTGATCGAGTAACGTTTCGCCAGTTGCGGATCTTGGATCTTGACCATGTGAATGCCGAACACATCGCATTCGTCATCGATCAGCTCCAAGCCCTCTAGTATCTGGTCGCAAATGTTGCAGTTGATTTTGTCTGGCGATGGTAAATACATGGTAGTTCAGTTACCCAGTAATAATTAGATTTTATAATTAGAGCCAAGCTGGAGAACCGGTTAGCTGTAGTGTGAGAGGCAAAGAAAACGCCGTAACAAAAAGGTATTCCCGTCCAAACTAAATTCCAGTGAATTCTAGAAATTTGGATATTTGGAACAAAAAGTATATCAACAGCTAAGGGGAGCATGCAGGAATCTCATTTAGTTTGGTCGTAATACGATGGAAGCCTGGTTTAGTGCATTCAGAGGAATCGGTTCTGGGCACAGAACACCATTCCTTCGGAGGGTTAGACGTAGTTAGGGCTCCATCGAGCATGCGCAGTCGGAGCTTGGGGGTTTTTATTGTTTGCACGTGGAATACGGAAGGAATACCTTGTTTTTCGATACGTTTTCTTTTACGTGAGATGTAGTTTTGTACGAATTGGCTGGATGAGTGTTTTGTGGATTTGGTGGTGGTCAGGTTGCTTTCTTTAAGACTAGAGGGGGAGCAGAAACTGCGGCAGAAAGCGGGTTGCTTCCCATTGCGCTCTGGTGGTACTGAGGTCGGTACGGTTGCGGTTGCGGTTTCGTTTTCGTTTTCGGGTTCGGTTTAAGACAGGGGAAGGTTTTGTGGTTTATGTTCGATGCAGTGTGGGGCGGGGAGGATACAATTATTCAGAATGTGGTAGATCATGATAAAGTGCTGCAGAACAGTGGGCCAATCGAACCAGAGTCCGACCGATGGGAGCTACTCACAGAAGTACACGGCCAGGTACTGGGTCTCCTCCACCATTGTCTCCAGCATCTGGCGAGTGATCAGCTCAATGCGATCCTCGGTCTTCTGGGTAATCAGCCACTGCAGCACCTCCTCCTCCTCGCTGAGTTCTCCTGTAAGAAATTGGCTTAGTACGGGTTGCCCATCGATTGGTGGCTGCTTCACCCTCAAATACGTTGGGGATTCCTCCTTCGAAGTACACTAGAGCCGGATACTCGTGGACGCCATAGCCGTCGGCCACAGAGAAGTCCCTGGTCTTTACGAACGTTATGCCGTGCTTGTCGCAATCGTCATCGATGTTTTCGAGCTCCTCCAGAACCTTGGTGCACTGCTCGCAGCCATCCGCATCTGATGGTCAAAGGGTGTTATGGAATATATGGTTACAATCATTCAACACATACTGCACAGAACTACTCGACATACGGGGTACTACACAAGCACTACATATATGTATGTACAAATAAAAAGCGAGCTGAAGTTGAGGGGAAGTATGAAAGCAACGACTATAGTACATTTCATAAGTCCTGGTTCCACTGGCAGGATATCAGCTTACTGATTAGTGGGAATATCTTAGAGCCAGTGCATCTGGTTCGATTCACATATGCAATCCTTATGGTGCACAGTGGAATCAGCAATTATGATTAAATATTTGGATCATTGGATCCTTTGAGTACAAGTAATAAATCTTATCGGGATGAGGAAGATAACAGCTAACGTTGAGAACAGAAAGGGTCGAATATGACAGAGATATAGATATAGAGAAATGGCTGGAGCAACAAATAGATACAGTGGGTTTCGGATGGAGATTCTATGTTCTTCGGGTTTTTACATTCGCTGTACAGGGTGGAAGTGGAAGTGTGTATAGTGTGCGTTGGCAATTGGTATCTGGTTGTGCTGGGTTAAGTGGTTAAACATTCTTGGACTCATTCCAGTTGCACGAGTTCTATACAGAAAGGTGGGCTACCATCCTCTTGCTTGCCAGTTGACGCGTCCGGTGGAGCAGCTGCAGAGGCTGGCGGGGATTCCGCCTCGGCACCTGCCGCTGGTGCATCCTCCGCCCCACCAGCGGCCGCCTCGGAAGGATCTGCCTCACTGCCGAAGGCGGCAGCGGCGCTGGCTGCTCCGCCCTCCTGCTGGTGCTGATCGCGCTCCTTTTTCAGCCGCGCCTTGCGAGCCGCTTTCGAATTGCAAATGTCGCACTTGGTCTTGTTCCCTACGTTTGGGTATCGATTTGTGTGGTTCGGTTTGAGATTTCAGAGATTTCAGCACAGTCGTAAATAGAAATATAAATAAAGTCTTGTTCGGTTAGATACACAGAGCGCTGATAAGAGGCTTAGACTAGATTTATCTAAGTGGTTATCTACAATCATAAACACACAGTTCGCTGCAAGCTGTTTGCGCAAAAGGGTGGCACCAAACCCAAAAAGTACCTAATACGCGATGCAACATATGTTAATTTTTGGAATTTTTAAAACGGTGGAACAAACGAATACGTCTTCATTTTAGGCTGCTGATGGACGTAACATAAAGCGAACATCAAAGTGCACATTGTACTTTTTGCGAACTGATGCCACCAAACCGATTGCAGCACTTAAAACCTGGCTCCTCAGAGATATGGAAAATCATCAGTTGATCACAGACTCTTTTCGGCTGCCAACTTACAAAAGTAGACTGCGATGGAGCCAGACTCTTCGATCAGGTGAACGAGTCTTTCGCCTTCGAGATCTTCGATAACATCTCCACTTGGATCCTTTTGCGTGACTAGCCAAGTTAGGATCTGTTCTTCTTCGTAAAGATCACCTGCAAGGGAACGAGTTCAGGCTCGGAACTAACAGCTTTCTGAACTGGGCACTCCTACCGGCGTATATAACTGGCTCCTTGGATGTCGGCTTGAAGAAGACAATAGCGGGCAGTGCAAACACTCCGTACTCCTTGGCCATTTGCTTGTCGTCGATCTTGACGAAGTCGATGCCCGCCTTGTCGGCTTCGTCATCTATGTGCTCCACCTCGGCCAGGACGCGGGGACACTGCTTGCACTCATCGCTATCTGAGGGTAAGTCATGGATTGTGGGTTCATAAAGGTGGTCCAATCAACTGTGGACCCGGTGGGCCTGGCACTTACAGAATATCACCGCCACGTAGTCGGAGTTCTTGCGGATCTTCTCGAACATCTTGCGGTTCACCTGCTCGATGTGGTCGGTCATCTCCATGTTGGCCGGGCTCGTGAGCCAGTCCAGCACCTCCTCCTCGTCGTCGATATCGCCGTCGTAGTTTATATACTTGCCCTTGCGGAAATACGTCAGTCCCGGGGGATTCCTGAAGCCGTACTTCTTGGCCATCAGCTTGTCGTGCATCTTCACTATGTAAATGCCATATTCCGCAGCCTCGTCGTCTATTAGTTCAATGTGCCGCAGCACTCGTGGCGAGTCGGGATCATCTTCCTTGTCTGCAATTGCAAGCGACATGCCATTCGCATTAGTTTGAGTAATTCGAGTATTTTGTAAAAGATATTTTCCTTCTCAGAGACTTATTCCATAGAAATTATATTTTGCTTGTGTGTTTGGGCAGTTACAGTTTTTAGTGGGCGCGATTTACTAAAAGTATGTGAACTCCTAGATTCCTTAGCATTTACCTAAACACCGTTGCCGAAGTATACTTACAAAACACAACCGCTAAAAAGTCTTTGGTGCCTATATACTCGAAAAGTTGATCACGGCTAATGAGCTGAATGCTTTGGTCGGCCTTCTGTTCCAGAATCCAGTTGAAGACGTCCTGATTGCTTGCAATGTTACCTGGGTTCAAATGTAAAATTAATAGTCAGAACTCATCGTACTTCCATGTATTAGGTTGAAATGTGTGGCTTGTCCATTTGGTGGCACATACCTGGTGGCTGCAGTTTGTCAATCAATCATCAGCTTTAATCTTGAATATGTATACAAAATTAATGATCGCATTGTTATTCTCACCCCCCTCCCCCCAATGAAATTCAAAATCGGCACTTTGCCAAATCCCCAGCCGCCCATAAACAATGTTGCATGACTCAAAATATATGGTTTTGAGAGTACAGTTGCCTCTAGATCGTCAAGGTTTTTAGGAATACATTTTAAGATTTTTGGGAAGATAAGATTAAGATATGTTTGAAATTATTTAAGACAAAGGATTCCGTATTCTAACATTGCTTTAAAGTGTTTATAAATAAGAGCACCTAAGTTGTTGAGTTGGATGGCTTTTATTAAATATGCTTACAGTTTCATTCGGGAGCTATGTTTACAAAAGTGCTTTAGGTCGATTTGCGTTTGAATCTTACAATCTGACAATTTTCATTTTGAAAATTAGCCTGACAAAATACATGCTTGATCTTGACTTATCAGCTGCTGTTCAACAAAATTTGTTTACATATACATGTGTATGTCGGATTTAGTTACAATTGCGTGTAGAATGGTAGGCTTTAGCTTAAGAAAACATAATGATAAAGATTTATAATTCGATACTTGGCGAGTATCGATAACAAAAACAACAGCGAGCGGTACAGAAATCGCTCTCAGAAGAAAACAAATAAATCGAAATGGCGAGCTACAATATGCGAGGCCATGTTCAGCGAGAAATATTGGATTTTGGTTCCATAACAAAATTAAGTATACGGCCTGTGTGCTGCAACATATCTAGAAACTTCTGGTTACAAATGATCGTTCTTAATGTTGGTATTAATAAAAGAGTTGCAGGCGCTCATAGTTACGCGTTTTAGTTAAAATAGCTAACAGTTGGGCACTGTCAGGTGTAAATTGTTTCAAAAAATATTTTATGCGCTTGTTCGTTCGTTTCTATGCTTTGGCCCTTGTTTAAATTAGACTAACTACATAAATGTAAATTGTATATTGCGACAAAAAGAAGTAGTATCAAAAAGTTTAGGCGTTCGTTATTGACAAAAGACAATGTCCCATTAAATTGTTAATAACAAAGATTGCTGACTAAATGTACAAGTGAAAGTTCTCAGAAGTTTTATAGTTGTTTGTCGAAGTAACTGCTTTTAGTTTGAACAAAGTTTGTTGAAATCCGTTGGCAAAATGCAACAAATGTGTGGTTTAGTTAGTTATAGGACCAGTCGGCCCCCGCTCGAAAAAAGTTAAAGCGAAAATATCAACAAAGTGTTAGTTAGTAGGTTTTCATTTTTCATTATCTCGGGTTTCGTGTGATTCTGCTACTCGTGGATCTTCTTAACGTGGAACAACGCACAAGGATTGCTGCTTAAAAGTGTGGAGTAAGATCTGATCTGGCACAGAATGATTTGGGCCAGATGGTTCGGGGTTAGTGCGGGGAACCCTCACTTTTAAGGACACACAGCCTGCGAATTCAGTTTTCAGTTGGTTCTTGTCACAGTGGTTGTCTTTTGCAGTCACACACAGATGATGTACATTTAATTATAGAAACCTGTCATTGAAGGTTCTTTTGGTGGCTATACAGGTTTGAGTTTGTATTTGGTTGTGGGTTTGGTTTTGGTTTTGGTTTTGGTTTGATAATTGTCCTATCAGTTGGCAACAGTGCGAATACGTGCTACTTTAGTATGGCATATCATTCAATCATACAATCACTATCTAACTGTCTGTGGATATCCACACTCAGTTAAACTGTTGCCTTACTCCCACAGAGAGATATCCTGAAAAATGATATCATACAAATTTTTTAGTCGATTTTGGAAAAAATTAATGCCTGCAAGACACAAGAGAGAGAAAAGAGAAGAGAAATAAACAAATAAGGTAACGACCAAATTGTGCGTGTGTCTGTATGTGTCTGAGTATGGGCACAACTAGAGCAAAGTGATCAGGGATCAGGACAATGAGATTGGCGTTTAATGGATTTTGTCTCGGATTGTTTACAGTGCTGGTCTGGTTTACGGTGTCTAGTCCGAGGGTCCAGCGACTACGTACCGGATTTGACATTCAGCTTGCCGGACTTCTTCGACGACTTCTGCTTGGATGCCTTCTCCACCTCCTGCGACTGGTCGTCGTTGGCCTGGCCCTTGGCTAGCGGCTTCTTGCCAGCCTGCGGCTTGTTGCTTCCTCCCGAGCGCTTATTGGCATAGGAAACCTTGACCAGGGGCTTGTCCTCGTCGTCCTCGTCGTCATCGTCGCTGTTATTGGCGGGCTTGGTCTGCTTCTTGGTGGCCAACGGCTTGGTGGACGATGTGCTGGACGCCTGGCCGGCGAACTGGAAGTTGCCGCCGCTGGGACGTTTGCCCTGATCGCCTTCGCTATGTCCGATCCGCTGGGCCGTCATCTTAGGAACTTTCGTTGACTTCTCCAATTTGGTTGGACAGCATTGGAATGGTTTGTAATCGTTGGGCACGAAATTGTTGCCGCGCTTAGCTGAATGGCCGTCATGACCCAATCCAACATAGAAACATTCGTCATCTGTGTAAGCAAACAAACAAAAACATTTTGTCAGATTGTTTAATTAAAAAAGATTTTTGTTTTTTTTTTGGTTCACTATCAACAGAAGGTTCGTTACGATAAGTTAAAAAGGTTTTAACAAAAGTGCATCATAGTAGGCTAGAACTAAGAATAGAAGTCGCAAACTGGCTTTTTACACTTTTCTTAACACCTTCGATATTACGACAGAGAAAGAAAAAGAGCAGTTAGTACGATTTTCGATTTGATTTCATTATATTCAGACTTGAAAGATTCTTTGTTCTAGAGTAAAAGCGTGCTTTATGAGTGGAAGAGATTTGAAATTGTTATATAATATAATTTTAAGTTCTATTGCAAAACTACTAACTGACAAAATGCTTTTGATGCTGACTGTACATGTTTCGGATTTTGATTCTAATTTGTAAACATATCAAATATCGAGTTAAGCCCACGTTGTACATTTCGTTTTCGACTGAGTGTCAGTGAATTCACTGCGACTCACTTAGTTGTTTTTGTTTATATGCTTAAATATTTTCCATGGAACAGCAGGTTCGTTATAAATTAATATACGTGTATATAAACAAACATAACGATTACTTAAAGTATTATGAGAAAATAATATATAAATCGAACAAATTAGGTATTAACACAATTGTTGTATTATTATCAAAATAGTTACGTTTTTAAATAAAAAAACTTAAGTTTCCTGGCTTAAATAATTTCAAACATTGTGTCAGCTATGTATGATTCAATATTCTTTGAACATGGTCTTGCAGTAACAAAGACAATTGACTTGGAAAGTGGATTAGGCTGCGGATGTAGGTGTAGGATTTCTGATTCAAGAGGATCAAAAGTATACGAATGTGGGTAGCTATTTTGACTGGACTGTATTCCCAATATAGATTGTGCCTCACATGGTAGTTGCTTTAGCACAGAAGCAATGAGCACAGATACACAAATCTCGTGATTGTAGAGTGGTTACCTTGGTTAAATGCTTTTCTATTTGAATTCCTCTTCCCCAAGTCTGTAGATAGACAATGAAATTAACTTTAGTCAAAGTTACAGAGTGTTCTTTGGCATAGTACAGTGTACGAGGATGTGTTCTCGGGTGCGGTGAAAGGGAAGGGAATTAAAGTTGGATTGGGCAAAACATTGAACAACTTCAGTTAGTGCGTCAATGGCAACTCACATTCAGGTATTACCTATTTCATCTATAAGCCGACCTGAGCAAAGGTCAGCAAGACGGTGTATCGTTCTACCTTTGGCCGTGTGCCTATACTTTGGTTTACTCTTAATGTCCTCTTCTTCCTCGTCGTTCTCATTATCGTCCTCCCCTGTTGCGTCCGTGTCTTCTGCATCCTTGTCGTCCCCGTCTTCGTCCTCGTCCTCGTCCTCAGTGTCTGTTTTGTTATCGTCGTTCTCGTCCTCGTCCTCGTCATCCTCGTCCTCATCATTGTCGTCCTCATCTTCATCGTTCTCTTCGTCGTTCTCGTCTTCGTCATTGTCGTCTTTATTATTATCTTCTTCGTCATCGTCCTCGTCCTCATTATTATCTTCTTCGTCATCGTCGTCGTCCTCATTATTATCTTCCTCGTCATCCTCATTATTATTTTCCTCGTCATCTTCGTCCTCATCATCATTATCTTCTTCGTCATCCTCGTCCTCATCATTATTATCTTCTTCGTCATCCTCATCATTATTATCTTCTTCGTCATCCTCTTCCTCATTGTCACCATCTCCGTCATCCTCGTCGTCATCATTATCTTCTTCTTCATCTTCGTCTTCTTCATTGTTCTCTTCGTCATCCTCGTCGTCGTCTCCATTCTCTTCGTCATTCTCGTCATCGTCGTCGTCCCCATTCTCGTCATCGTCGTTATTGTCATCTTCATCATCGTCCTCGTCGTTCCCATTATTATCTCCTTCTTCGTCATCCTCGTCGTCCCCATTATCTTCGTTATTATCTTCGTCATCATCCTCGTCCCCATTTTGATCATCTTCATCATCCTCGTCTTCGTCATCCCTATCAGTACCTTTCTCCCCTGTTTCATCTTCGTCATCCCCATTTTCATCATCATCAGTGTCCAGTCTTTTCTTATGTAATCTTTCATTGCGAATCGAATTCTGCAGACGCTTTAATCTTTCTCTTTTATCCTCATCGCTTTCTTTGGGATAGCGCAATTTAACAATTTTTTCATTACTGTCGCCGTCATCATTGCCTATATGAGAAATTATCATTACGTTTTGTACTTTTCATTTAAGCAAGAACGATTTTATGATATTGGATTTGTAGTTTTTTAAGATTTATAGAAACCTTTTTAGTGTTAATTGACTTTGTATTGAAAGTTTGGCTAATGAGCGTGAGTTACAAGCATAAACATGTTTAAAAAAGGACGCTTACTCTT